ACACACAAACACACACACACACACACACACACACACACACACACACACACACACATATATATATATATATATATATATATATATATATATATATATATATATATATATATATATATATATATATATATATATATATATATATATGTATGTATATATATATGTATATACATATGTATATATATATATATATGTATATTATTAAATATGACCGAAAAAGTAAGATTAATAATTCTAACACGAATTTTCTCAATCTTTCGTACATTTCGCTTCACTGTTGGAGGTAAATCAAAAATCAATTCTCCAAAATTCATTTTTATTTCTAGTCTGACGCGACACGAACGCGTTTCGTAAAACTTATTACATTTTCAAAGACTTTAGTTCACAAATACACAACTGAATAGAACTTACGCATCTCCGATTTTATATCTACATTTGAGTGAGGTGGAAGGGGTGATGTAGCATTAACACAAGACAGAACAAAATGTGGTATTAATAGGGTATTAATTTCATCAACACAAGACAGAACAAGAGTATTAATAGGGTATTAATTTCATCTTATGAAATTAATACCCTATTAATACTCTTGTTCTGTCTCGTGTTGATGAAATTAATACCCTATACCCTATAATGATGAAATTAATACCCTATTAATACTCTTGTTCTGTCTTGTGTTGATGAAATTAATACCCTATTAATACCACATTTTGTTCTGTCTTGTGTTAATGCCACATCACCCCTTCCACCTCACTCAAATGTAGATATAAAATCGGAGATGCGTAAGTTCTATTCAGTTGTGTATTTGTGAACTAAAGTCTTTGAAAATGTAATAAGTTTTACGAAACGCGCTCGTGTCGCGTCAGACTAGAAATAAAAATGAATTTTGGAGAATTGATTTTTGATTTACCTCCAACAGTGAAGCGAAATGTACGAAAGATTGAGAAAATTCGTGTTAGAATTATTAATCTTACTTTTTCGGTCATATTTAATAATATATGTCTACAGGAAAGACTGCTACCAAAATATATATATATATATATATATATATATATATATATATATATATATATATATATATATATATATATATATATATATATATATATATATATATATTTATATATATATATATATATATATAAAATACCTATATTTATATATAGGTATTTTTCGTTTTTATTCACCGTCGCTGGTAATTGAAAAATTAACTCTCCAAATTTTATATATATATATATATATATATATATATATATATATATATATATATATATATATATATATATATATATATATATATATATTAGTATATTTTGGTAGCAGTCTTTCCTGTAGACATATATTATTAAATATGACCGAAAAAGTAAGATTAATAATTCTAACACGAATTTTCTCAATCTTTCGTACATTTCTTTTCACTGTTGGAGGTAAATCAAAAATCAATTCTCCAAAATTCATTTTTATTTCTAGTCTGATGCGACACGAGCGCGTTTCGTAAAACTTATTACATTTTCAAAGACTTTAGTTTACAAATACACAACTGAATAGAACTTACGCATCTCCGATTTTATATCTACATTTGAGAGAGGTGGATGGAGTGAGGTGGCATTAATAGGGTATTAATTTCATCAACACAAGACAGAACAAGAGGTGGTATTAATAGGGTATTAATTTCATCAACACAAGACAGAACACGAAACAATGGGTATTGAATAGAAGTGATTGTAGAAAGCCTATTGGTCCATATTTCTTGATGCTTCTATATTGGAGCGGAGTCTTGAGGTGGGTCAACAGCCAATTAATGCACAACTATATTCTACCCACCTCAAGACTCCGCTCCAATATAGAAGCATCAAGAAATATGGACCAATAGGCTTTGCTAAAAATATGCTAAAAATTCCCATCACACAGGATGGTCAATCATACATGTGATAAGTAATCTGCACTGGCAAACTCTGGGTGCATTATGAGCATATCATCATTAACACAAGAGTGAATAAGGTAGCAGTGATAGTAAGAGTCCCCATCTCGCAGGAAAATATTATACTGGTTAACAGTAGGAAAATCATCAGATAATTTTGTTTTATATATATTCTGTGTTTTTAAATTCAGATTTTTTGATAAGCAGTTATCAAATTATGGCAGGCTTGACAGATGGTGATTCGCCGTAATATCTAGCTCCTCCTCCGAAGCCCCTGTAACCTAAGTAACCAGGATTGGCCTCAAAGTCAGCATTGTCCTAAGGGTCAGCTTCGGCACGCCTCCTTCCACGGTATCCTCCCCCGAAGCCACCTCTATGGAAGCCCCCACCGATGCCTCCTCCAAAGCCTTCACCGAAACTTCTCCTGAAATGACCAGGTTCGGCATCTGAGGAAGGCTCAGCGCTTGTAGCCACCAAGCACATGGCAGCCAGGAATGCGGCAACAACCAGTTGTATGAATAGAAATATATATTTCATCAATGTTTTACGTGATAGCATCAGAAAGATACAAGTTTTAGTCGTAATCGCTTTATCCTAACAGATGATCATGTAGCCTGAAAAATATTAAAATATTTAGAAATGCTTGCAAACTGTATGAAATGCAAATATATTTATGGTAAATATGTTTATTGTATACGAATTGAACAAAGAATGTTTAATTAAAATACTCTATTGATTGTATATACTCTTTAAAATATTTATTATAACACCATTAAAAATTTAGTGTATTTCGCATACAAAAGTAATTGATGACATTGCACTTGACTAAGAAGTGCTGATGAAAATGTTCTTAAGTGAAATACAAAAATAAATGCATAGTACATTTCTTCGCATACGCGATTCCAGAAGGTGTAACTCATCGGGGTCTTCATGGCTCAGGTGTGAGCGTGACTGTGGGAAGCTGTAGGCAGTGCTGCCTTATATACACTTCTCGAGACGTATTTCGTGATCCAGGCATTTCAAGTCCGGGGATGACTTTTTCATTTGGCCATGCTGAAACCCCCTGAGGTATAATTAGATTACTCATTATTTATTGTTATTGTTTTTGCTTTCATAACAGCATATATATGTTTTTGGTCTGGAAAACAGGCACTCATAATGGAAGCATACATAGAAAGAGTTTCTTTGTGTTGATTGATTAGAATAGATGTGCGTGTGCAGATGTGATGATGTGTTTAGCACATTTCTAATTTTGTCATGCATTTTCGTATATTTAGTTACCCCTGTTGGATGAGGCTTGCAATGAAAGTGTTTTCAAAGACAAGTTGCTATGACTAACGATCTATTTTCTCCGTCTACCTGGGCAGCGCTGGATACCCCCATCTATTTGTCAAGGAGAATATTTGTCAGTTTGTTTGTCCATATTATATTAAGTCAAGCGTTCGAGGCTAACCTCACACAACTTTACGTGGTGATTACTGATTTTTGGAGAGTCTCATAGAGTGGATGAGGCCTGTCCCGACGTCCCCCTTGAAGGGGAATCGGCCTCTGCACACCATTCAAGTCGGTAGATGTGAAATGCTCAACAAGAACTCCGTAGAGTTTAATATTCGTTTAAATATTAGTGAATTCAGATATATGCAAAACGAATGTCCAGATTGCAGATTTGTGATGGAGTGTTGTTGTTTTAGATTCAGCTACTCGGAACAAAAGTTCCAAGTAGCACGGACTATGGTGAGCCCTTTTTTTTTTGTGATGGATATAATGTGTAGTGTAGTGTAGGGCGCTTTACAGCTGGGTGGACAGCGCTTCGGATTCGTAGTCCTGAGGTTCCGGGTTCGATCCCCGGTGGAGGCGGAGACAAATGGGCAAAAAGTTTCTTTCACCCTGATGCCACTGTTACCTAGCAGAAATAGGTACCTGGGAGTTAGACAGCTGCTACGGGCTGCTTCCTGGGGGTGTGTAACTGGGGCCTGGTCGAGGACCGGGCCGCGAGGACGCTAAGCCCCAAAATCATCTCAATATAACCTCAAGATAGTGGATATGACTGAAGTGATGGAGGATTTGGGAAGAGTATGTGTAAGTGAAGAGGTTGTCTGTAGCTGGAGATGGATGTGTTGTGAAGATATTTATAGTGAGGAAAATAGTGTGATGTGAAAATGGTTACAGTGATGAAGTGAGATATGGATGGTGAGTAAGGGGAGGTAGGTAACAGGGAGGGTGTGTGTGTGTGTAGGGGCAGAGAGATAGGGAGGGGGTGTATATGGTTGGATGCTGGTAAGGTGTATAATGGAAGGGGGGAGGGAGACGGGGAGGATATATGATGCGTTGAGATGACGAGGCTGCTTGAGGGGGGGGGGATAGATGTGTATGTGAGCTTAGATGGGGAGAGTGTGTAGATTTTCATAACGATGAAGAACAGGTGCAATGAAAATTATTTCATTGATATGGCAAGAGTGGGAAGGTGAATTCTGGGATTTCTGGCGACGGAGAGTTCTTGGGGAAGATCGGGTGGGTGTATTCGGGTGGAGACTGGCAAAATCTCTTCTTCTTGAGGTTATCTTGAGATAATTTCGGGGCTTAGCGTCCCCGCGGCCCGGTCCTCGACCAGGCCTCTTTTTTTTTTTGCTGCACATCCCCAGGAAGCACCCCGTAGCATCTGTGTAACTCACAGGTACCTATTTACTGCAAGGCGAACAGGCGCATCAGGGTGAAAGAAACTCTTCCCATTTGTTCCCGCCTTCACCGGGGATCCCGAAGCGCTGTCCACTCGGCTGTCAGACCTGCATAGGATCACTGAAGGTACATATAGAGAAAAATTTATATGGTGGATGATGGGGAATGTTTGTTCAGGAGAAGTCAAGGAGTGCGTGTGTGAGGAGACACCTGGGAGGGTATGTGTGGCTGGAGAGTGGAAGTGTTGGGAGAAGTGGGGGGTAGTAAAGTTGTGTGCGAATATAAGAGCCTGGGCACAGGGTCGATATTGTAGTTTAATTTTTTTATATAATTTTTTTATTTAAAATATGCTCTGTTATATACACATCTTCTACCTGCACAATAAACTTAGATAAGGAAAAGCCATTACTGTGTGTTTACTTGTATATTTTGCATTTTCACATTGAGAGAGTGAGACAAGTAGTCACCAGGAATGTGGCGGACTTGACAGAAGGTGATCAACCATAAAGGCCTCCCCGTCCATATCCACCACCGAAACCTCCGAAGCCACCACCGAAGCGACCGAAGCCACCACCGAAGCCTCCACCAAATCCTCTACCAAAGTAACCGGGATCGGCTTCAGGGTCAGCAGCGGGCTCAGGGTCAGCTTCAGCACTCCTCTTTCCACGGTGTCCTCCATATCCTCCGAAGCCTCTTCCGAAGCCTCCACCAAAGCCTCCACCGAATCCTCCACCGAAACCTCTCCTGAAGTGACCGGGTTCGGCATCTGGGGAAGGCTCAGCGCTTGTGGCCGCCAAGCACATGGCCGCCAGGAATGCTACAACGATCTGGTGAATAAACACAAATATATATTTTTCTATTGAAGTTATACGTGAGTGAATATCTAGTTATATCTTAGTTATACTATATTATATCTTAGAGTGAATGGAAGGTCAATTGTTTGAAATATATTAAATATGTATAAGTTATAATTTAAATTTTACGTTCAGAAATTGAGAAGCTTTTCTGTAAAATTACTCAGTGAACACCCAATTTACAGACAGAGAATGAGAATGCAATATGAAAATATTTTATGTACTCTGTAAATGGGAATATGATTATTATGATTAGGGAATAAATTAAGTGCGTGTATATGGAAATGCTTATTGTTTCACGATTAAATATAAGAACTTTCTAAAAATATTAAGTTAATTTTTCATGTAAATGAACATTGCTATTACATCAGTGCAAGCAATGTGTAGCAAATTAATAAACAAAAATATTGTTAAATTATTAAACATTTTGTGCACTAAGACTCATACAGATCTAAACTTTATCACTTGATATATAAAAGCAAAAATAAATATTATTCCTTCTACCAAAGAAAACTATAGCAAAAACAACTTTTTTTAGAGATTGGAATAAATAATTTGATTAATATGAACACACGCTTCTTTCTGCAGTCAGTAATGTTTGAAAACATTACTTCCCTTTCAGGGTAGGAAATTATAGAAGGTAATTTCGAAATATAAAATATAATTAAAGTAACAATATGCATGAATTTAAAATAAGATGTGGGAAGAATTTAATGCTGACTCCTTTCGAGAAGCATTAAAGAAAAAGAATTATATATATAATCAGTCAAACTCTCATACTGAGAGCTATAAAGAGCAAATTTGTTGCATAAGAGAGCAGGAAAGTAAAACTTACCAGGATCTTCATGGCTCTGTTGTGAGTGAGTCGACTGTGTTGAGGTGGACGCAGCGCGAGGTTATATAGCCCTCGTGAGATTGTCCCGCCTTCTGTGACAGAGATCCAGGGATTTCAAGGCCGGGGGACCAGTTTTTGTTCCACTAGTGTTTATACCAGTACGTTAAAGTTCATTATATATAAGCTTAACATTGAACTGCAGCCCTATCATCTTCTGAAGGGTTATAAAGGCCACTACAAGGGCGTACTGACCTGCCAAAAGGAAAATTCCCGTTTCCTGGGACGGGAAGCTTCAGCACCTTCAGTTTTGACCCAAGTTCTTGATTACAGTAAGCGTTTAGTGTATTTATAATCAGAATTGGAATACAGCTCTCGATGAATAAATACAGCTGATAATACTTTTTATTATATATATTTCTTATTTGTAATATTGTGTATTAATCTTCTGATAACACAAATGATCAAACCTTATAAATTGAAAAGGTTTTATTACAAGCGATTATTTATATTTGAAGCACAAGAGAAGTTGAATTTGAGTTTGGGTATTTAAGTACATTAATTAAATTCGCCATCCCAAAGAGAAAACCCACAAATCTGAAAAAAAATTGACGACGGTTTCATTCGTGCTGGATCATTATCAACTCGCGTAACGTATTAAGTTAAACATTACCCGACAGTCCCCGTGGTGGAATGGTAAGACTCTCGCCTGGCGTTTCGCGAGCGCTCTGGGTTCGTATCCTGGCCGGGGAGGATTTACTGGGTGTCAATCCTTAACTGTAGCCTCTATTTACCCAACAGTAAAATGGGTACCTTTTCGTTAAACGATTTGGCGGAGTAGTATTCCGGGGAACATAGGATTAAGGACCTGCCCGAAACGCTATGCGTGTTAGTGGCTGCATAAGAATGTAAAAACTCTTGTATATAAATAAATAAGTAAAAATTACAAGTAATTACGCATCTACTGTTGGATGCCCACCCCTAACCAACTGAAGCCCTCCAAGCCTTTTTTCTAGAAGGTCAGCATCTTCTTGAGATTCTTGAGATGATTTCGGGGCTTTAGTGTCCCCGCGGCCCGGTCCTCGACCAGGCCTCCACCCCCAGGAAGCAGCCCGTGACAGCTGACTAACACCCAGGTGTTAGTCAGCTGTCACGGGCTGCTTCCCTCCAAATGGATTACCAAAACCGCCACTGTGCTCAGAATGTATAATATTCATCACCTCTACCAAGAGAGACAACAACGACACTTTCCTGCCCCATGGGAGATCACTCCTTTCCAAATTACTGTCCCCCTTTTCCCACCCAAGAAGCTGATTATAGAACAAGCCTTGCTCTGACTAGAAGCAAAGTACAATGCCTTAAGCCAAATTGATGCTTTAGTCAGAGAGCGCTCCCTTTCCCAGATTATTTACACTGATGGATCCTTGCATCAGTCCTATGGTGCAGCTGGAAGTGCAGTTGTTGTGACAGGGAGAGATGGTTCCTTCTCCCATGAGTGTGGAGCGCGTCAAGTAACTGGGCCTCCACACTTCAAACAGAATTGGTTACCATTATCCTTGCACTCGAGCGCGTATATGAATCCAAAGTTGACATGCTAATTGTAAGTGACTCCTTGTCATCCTTGACTGCCCTCAGCTCCCCAAGGCATAACTGTGACGTGCTTATCTCTGAAGCTAGACACATATATAATGAAAAAATCAATGATGGAGTCAGAGTCTGTCTCCTGTGGATTCCTTTCCATATTGGTCTCCGAATGCATGATAGAACTGATGAGTTGGCCAAGACTTTTGCTCGTAAATAGGGAATTGATTACAAACTTGGATTGCCTTTGAGCAGCCTGAGGGCAGTAATATTCCGTGAACATCACCTAAATTTCGGAGACTTGAGGCAAAGTGAAATTCACATCAGTTACTCCATCTATCATCATTCTATTATGCAGGAAGTACCGCACGTCTATGGGTCATCCAATAATGTTAGCAGACTTCTAGATGTTACCACTGCTAGGCTTAGGCTCGGCTACAAGTACCTCTGGCAGTTTGTAACATCTTTTGATGTAGATTTGACTATATGTAAATTCTGTCAGCAGAACTATTCGCATACTTTGCGTCATTATATACTGAAATGTGAAAAAAATCGCGGAATTTAGAGATAACACCATCAATGGTGTCCAAGAAATGTAAAAGTACTACATTCATAATGATGTGCTGCCCGAAATCTTAGCGAAGTATCCAAAATTTACTTACTGTAGGCAATGCATGCACATGACCGTAAAACTGCCGCCCAGTTGGGTGGGTGTGGAGCACATGACCGTAAAGCTGCCGCCCAGTTGGGTGGGTGTGCAGCAAGACTAGTAATTGTGTGACTCACTATAGATGTAAAGAACCTTGTATAGTGACTGTTGTGAGCCTCATGTTGAATCACTTGTGATACAAAAGATTATTGATGTGTGTATTTGTGTAGGTGATTAAATATGTATGTGTATGTAAATATGTATATATATGTACATATATGTATGAGTATGTGTACATGTATATATAACATTAATAATTGTGTAACTAGCGTCAAAAAAATGTTATTTGCTTAGCTAAACGAACTAGAGAGTTCAGTTCCTGAACCGATTATGTACCTCTGTAAACCTTTACACCACCGCCTTTACTATAGATGTAGAGTGCCTTGTATAGTGACTGTTGTGAGCCTTTTGTTGAATCACTTGTAATACAAAAGATTATTGATGTATGTATGTGTGTAGGTGATTAAATATGTATGAGTATGTTATATGCATATGCATATATATGTACATATATGTATATGCATATATATGTACATATATGTATGAGTATGTGTACATGAATATATAACATTAATAATTGTGCAATTAGCGTCAAAAAATGTTATTTGCTTAGCTAAACAAACTAGAGGGTTCAGTTCCTGAACCGAATATGTGCCTCTGTAATCCTTTACACCACCGCCCACGGGATGGGTAAGGGGTGCATAATAAAGAAACAAATTGAATACTGTTGGATGACGCCTCTTTCCATGATGATGCCTGGCAGTGCGTACTTGCCATGCCAGGTGTTGTTGAAGCATCTCTGCTGGCGAGGGTTCGAGTCCCTGGTGGGTGTGTGTGTCTAAAGTTAGTTTAACTTCAAACTTGCGTGTTCAGGCAAGTTAGGGCATTAAACATGGACACCGTGTTCTCCCATATTAACAGGTTCTCGATGGAAAACGTCAGTGACCTCTCACCTACACTAGTGGTTTTGGGGGACGGAGGTTGGGTCTTAAATACCCCCAAATTTCCATCCCTTTTAATGCTCTAAGTGTGGGGTAGTGGGTAAAGTGCGTACCTGCCATGCAAGGTGTTGTTGAAGCATCTGTGCTGGCAAGGGTTCGAGTCCCTGGTGAGTGGGTGTGCCTAAAGTTAAACTTCAAACAAGTTCGTGCACACGCACACACACACACACATAAATATATATATATATATATATATATATATATATATATATATATATATATATATATATATATATATATATATATATATATATATATATATATATATATATATATATGTCGTACCTAGTAGCCAGAACTCACTTCTCAGCCTACTATGCAGGGCCCGATTTGCCTAATAAGCCAAGTTTCCTGAATTAATATATTTTCTCTAATTTTTTTCTTATGAAATGATAAAGCTGCCGATTTCATTATGTATGAGGTCAATTTTTTTATTGGAGTTAAAATTAACGTAGATATATGACCGAACCTAACCAACCCTACCTAACCTAACCTAACCTATCTTTATAGGTTAGGTTAGGTTAGGTAGCCGAAAAAGTTAGGTTAGGTTAGGTTAGGTAGGTTAGGTAGTCGAAAAACAATTAATTCATGAAAACTTGGCTTATTCGGCAAATCGGGCCTTGCATAGTAGGCTGAGAAGTGAGTTCTGGCTACTAGGTACGACATATATATATAAATATATGTCGTACCTAGTAGCCAGAACGCACTTCTCAGCCTACTATGCATGGCCCGATTTGCTTAATAAGCCAAGTTTTACTGAATTAATATATTTTCTCTAATTTTTTTCTTATGAAATGATAAAGCTACCCATTTCATTATGTATGAGGTCAATTTTTTTTTATTGGAGTTAAAATTAACGTAGATATATGACCAAACCTAACCAACCCTACCTAACCTAACCTAACCTATCTTTATATGTTAGGTTAGGTTAGGTAGCAGAAAATGTTAGGTTAGGTTAGGTTAGGTAGGTTAGGAAAGTCGAAAAAACATTAATTCATAAAAACTAGGCTTATTAGGCAAATCGGGCCTTGCAAAGTAGGCTGAGAAGTGCGTTCTGGCAACTAGGTACGACATGCATTTTTCTATGGTGTTAGTCGGAAGTCTTCTTGGTTCGGAAGACTTCCGAACTCCTTATCAAAAACAGCCCGAAGCCGACGGAGAACCCTCTACAGCAGTCAAGCGTTGTATACATGTACACTTGCCCCCACGAAGGATGTAACCTTCAATGTAAGTACATAGGTATGACGTCGACCAAGCTGACGAGGCGTTTGACATGCCATCTTCAATCTGGTGCCCCTAGGAATCACATGAGACAAGCCCATGACATTACTCTAACAAGAGAAATGTTGAACAAGAATACTTGCATAATAGACAAAACCCAAGATTCAAGAAGATTACAAATTCTTGAGGCAATTCACATAAGAATAGAGCGACCTACCATGAACACCCAAATCACGGAACTATTTACTCTACCCACCATGAGAGTAAGGACAAGACAAGAACATATCGATGCCAACACAGAAGACAATGTCCAACATAACAGGCCAATTACACTGGATTAATCTTTGTGTTTAGATAGGAGATGCCTCGTATGGGCCAATACGCCTTCTGCAGCCCCTATGTTTATCCCTTATGTATCCCCCCATGTTTTTCACCTTCATTGTATTATCACCTGACCTAATGCGGGTATAAAATCAACTAGTATTGTAAGATCTGTTCACTTGAGAATGAACCATGGAGGTTCGAAACGTCGTGCAAATTATACAAATAAGTGTAATACACTCTATAGTAAATCATTTCTTTTCTTCACCTTAAAATTACGAAAATGAGTTTTGGAGAACTCCTATTCCAATTAAGCCCTGATGCTAAGAAAATAGTTAGAGGGATAGAAGCCCTAAACCAGAAAATAATAAATACAGAATATGCGGTCATATTCAATGAAATATATATATATATATATATATATATATATATATATATATATATATATATATATATATATATATATATATATATATATATATATATATATATATATATTCTTTACTTAAAATATGCTCTGTTACATATACTTCTGCTTGCACAATATACTTGGATTAGAGAAAGCCATTATTTTGTATTTACTTGTATATTTTACATTTTCACACTGAGAGAGTGAAGAAGTTATCAGGAATGTGGCGGACTTGACACAAGGTGATCAACCATAAAAGCCTCCTCGTCCATATCCACCACCGAAACCTCCGAAGCCACCGCCGAAGCGACCGAAGCCACCACCGAAGCCTCCACCAAATCCTCTACCAAAGTAACCGGGATCGGCTTCAGGGTCTGCAGCGGGCTCAGGGTCAGCTTCAGCACTTCTCTTTCCACGGTATCCTCCATATCCATATCCTCCGAAGCCTCTTCCGAATCCTCCACCGAAGCCTCTACCGAAACCTCCGAAACCTCCCCTGAAGCCGGGTTCGGCATCTGGGGAAGGCTCAGCGCTTGTGGCCGCCAGGCACATGGCAGCCAGGAATGCTACAACGATCTGGCGGAGGAATTCAAATATTAAATTATATTTATATGTTTATGTTTATTATGTTTATATGTGAGAGTATTTTAGAAATACAAGCTAAAGTCTAGATGTGACATCCATATTTACTTTGAACATTTGACCAAAGATGGAGAGATGTATTCTAATTTGTATATACAAGCGTGTCCCAGTGCTAAAGATACTATTGGTCTAGAGTGTACGGAAGGCCAACTAGTTGAAATATGATAAAATGTAACTGTTATAATATAAATTTACATCCAGGCATATAGAAGTTCTCGTGGAAAAATTAACAAATCAACACCCAAGTTACAGACAGGGTAATGAGAACACAATTTTCAAATTATGACCAAACCATACATCAGGTAAAAAAGAAACGACTATGTTTCGGTCCATAAGGCTCCAGGACAGACCAAAACCTAGTCGTTTCTTCAATTTCTGATGTGTGGTTTGGTCATTATATCATCAGCCATATTTTTGTCACTCATCGACTGCACAATTTGAAAACATTAAAGGTATAAATGAATGAATTGCAAATAATGTGTTGTCAGATATGTAGGAAAATGTATACTCTGTGACGATTACTATTAAAACTTTCCTCAAATTGAATAAAAATACCTATATATTATTTGATAGAACATTAGTATGAACTCAATGAATGCAATGCGTACTAAATCTCAAAGTAATAAATAATGTTTGAATAACTTAATGTTTTCTCCTTAGACGTGGGTTCCAATAGAAATAATATATACCCAATAACTTAAAAATGTAGGAAGTTAAAACATAATGTTTCTGTGCATAGGAGTACAGCAAGGGATAACTCACCATGGTCTTCATGGCTCTGCTGTGTCTTGGTCGACTGTGTTGAGGTGGAGGCAGCGCGGCTTTATATACCTCTCAACATAACGTCCCGCTCACCCTGGGAGAACTCCAGGTTTCCCGTGACAAGGACAAGTTTTTGTTCTCCCTTTTGCGTATGCACCAGAACGTATTCAGTCCTTTACATCTTGGCTAAGTGTAAGGTTTAAGTGCTTTACATCTTGGTTGAGCGTAAGGTTTAAGTGCTTTACATCTTATTTGAGAGAAAGGTTTAAGTGCTTTACATCCTGGTTAAGTGTAAAGTTTAAGTGCTTTACATCTTAACTTGATGCTAGGTTTAAGGCCTATCAAACCTGTATGGTTGTTCTGCAACTAACACACATTATAGAAAACGTTTTATTAGACTGTTTAGTTATATGGGGATAAGCTTGTAGAGTTGTCTAAGTGCCTGTTTGCTTTAATTAATTTTTTTGTCCCTCTTTACCTACCAATTTAAACACGTCTAGTAATTACGCATCCACTGTTGGATGAGGCTTATAATGGTAGCGTTGCCATGACAACATATGCTCCTAAAAAACAGATTCGATTCTTTCTTGCCAAAACAAACTTGACAAAGTGTGCATATCAACGATTGATTGGTTGATTGATGAAGATTAAGCCACCCAAGTGTTGGCTAAATCACCTGTCACCTAGACAATTTAGATATAAACTTGTAAGCTCACAAGAGAAGAGAAACAAGTTTATAACACACGTTAAACAAGTTTATGACACAGTAACATTGTGAATGTAAGATTTGTATATATGTGAGTGTGCTGTTAGAATGGAGTGAGTACGAGGAATCAAATAACAAGGAGACATCATATCTCTCCAGCATGGATCTTCCAGCTTAAGCTACATTGCAAGACTCATTTTAACTTGGCATGACTCACTCTGCTACAGCAAATCATTTGAATTCATCTGTGTACTAAAAACAATAACTCACTATGGAAGTACAATGTGCAGCCTCACAGTAACTTATTCACTCATGTATCAGACTGGCTTCTTTTGAAACTCGTTCAGTTGTCACATTAATTTTTCAATATGATATTATCAGTAGGACAGTCTGGTTACATAAAAAATGCCAAATGCCTGTTAATCCAGCCCCTGTTTATGAATGAAAGACATTTTACATAGAACTCACAACTTATGGCGTATAATGTCCTTTTCTTGAACAGTGCTTCATTCGCGTCCTACGCTCGAATCACACATCTCTAAATGTTTCGTCCACGAACTGAAAATACAACCCATCCTCCGAATTGACAATACGATTTAAAACTAAGTGTAATAAGTACACTTTGTTACTATCATAAACAGTGCCTAATTGCACTTATGGGGCTGTTACATTTACCCAACCCCCTCCCCCAATATAATTCTCCTCGTTTTCTGTTGACACTCAGAATTTTAGGATGAAGTTTTCAATTTCAAGTTGCAATACACAAATTTTAAATATCAGGAATTTCCTTTTCAGGTTTATTAAACAATATAGATTTTATACAAAATTTTAAAATATTCCGAGTTACTTTACAATTTATTGATATATTTTAGTTTTGTTTCATTAGTTTTATAAAACTGTAATATCAATATAGCTATAGGTTAAGTACTAATTGTAATTAAGAAGCAATACAATTATTATCTTCAAAATCTAGGACGGTTAGGTGAGGTTGTGGTTTTCTATTCAGTTTTTTCAGGTAAACTCAAATATTCACAATATATTTGACAGTACGATTTAGTACTAAGTGAAAATAAGTACAATTCCTAACTGCTATGAATAGTACATAATTGCACCTATTTGTCTTCTTACATTTACCACCCCATTTTTGGAGGACGGGCTGGAAAATATCAATAATTGCCATCAGAACCTTAAAACGTAACTAAGTTAGGACTAACTTAGTTACGTTCTAGTACACAACTTTATTGACTTATGTAAGCAGTTTTTTAGCACTGATGGAAGCGTCTTTGGGATTCCTCCTTGTTTGGAGAAATCTAGCGTAAGGACAGACTGTTGCCCATCCTCATCAACAGAACCAAAGAGTGATTCCATGCACCTGCCAAACCGGATATTCAGTGAAAAACGATTTACACGCGACTGAAAACAACCTATCCTCAGACTAGGCTCGTTAAATTGGCGGTCATCCATACCCCATCCCCCCCCCCCCCAAATCATCATACTTAAAAGACTGTGTATAAAAAAATACGTTTGCTTTCATATGTAAGGATATATATACTTCTAATATATATACTACATCTACAAGCTTTGTTCTTCATGTCAAAACCTCCTTCTTTTCGATCCATTGATTCTCAGTCAATCTGTACATGATTAATGTCTCCCATTTCTAGGAGTTTTACTCTAAGCTATAGGCTGTCACCTTTTGGAGAATATTGGTGCATGCTTTGTTCGTAATTTTGAAGTCTTGCCTCGGTCTTCTGTGTTTTCCTGGAATGATGATGATTACAGCCATAACCACTCTCTCTCACACAGCAATGAAATAATTGCCAAAATGCAGTCCCTGCAGTTCTTTGCCACCTCCAAAGATATCCCTTCAATGATCTAGGTTCTATTCACCAGCAGTGCCAAATCACTTCCTCCTCTCTGAAGTCTTTCACTTCTCTTTATCTAGTATTCACTCAGGAATATTACATTATTAATCATACCATTTAGTTTGGTCTCTATTAATGCTGTTGCAACATGGTCTGTTTCCTTAGTCCTTTCTTTGGGTGCATCGCTTTATTTGACAGTCAATTAGCATTGTTGTTTTATATTTTTCCATGTCTTCATTGTTGTCCTGTACTCTGAATTGTTAGATTCCGATCTAAATATGGAGATTTAAATTAGCTTCAGGATGGATTTAGGATATAAAAGAGAGCAGGGGGATGGATGTCTGTGAGGTACTGGGTTGAAGTGGATGGTGTGACAGAGTGGGATTTGTGGGGGTTAGGAGCTGGAAGCGGGCCGGAGATAGTAGAAAGTGGTAATTGTGTGTGTGTGTTTATATTTCACGTAATTGTATTCAGCTAGTTGTGCTTGCTGAGTTGAGCTCTGCTCTTTTGGCCCACCTCTCAACTGTCAACTGTTACTAACTATTAACTAATCCCCCCCCCCCTCCCACACACACATACCCAGGAAGCAGCTCGCAATAGCTGTCAGACTCCCAGGTACCTATTTACTACTAGGTAACAAGGGCATCAGGGGAAAAGAAACTCTGCTCATATTGTTTCTGCCATCACCGGGGATCGAACCCGGACCCTAGGATTACCAGTCCAGAGCGCTGTCGACTTAGCAATCAGGCCCAATCAATTCATATTCCTCACATACACGCTCTGTGTGTGTACTTAACTAGTATTACTTACCTAGTTGTGCGTACGGGGGTTGAGCTCTGGCTCTTTGGTCCCGCCTCTCAACAATCAATCAATTAATGTACAAGTTTCTGAGATTATTGGGCTCTATCATATCTACATTTGAAACTGGTATGAGTCCCCAAGACGTTTTCATCCATTTTAACGTACTGTGTATTAAAAAAAAAGTTTGTTCACATATAAATTACCATTTTTATTGACAAAATTCTATGTATTTGCTAGCCGTGGGTTAGGTAAGGTATTTAGGTTCTGTTGACGATTATTTGTATTAGAAGTACGTGGGTAAAATTTATACGCTTGACTGAGAGATGCTTTCTAAAAAAAAATCACGTTTGATTTTTGGTATCATTTCATAGTTTATCCAAAAACTAGGAAAATATTTTCTTAAATAGAGTATTAGCAATAAAATGCTTCAGTATCAAAAATTTTAACGAAATAACGAAAATAAATTTCTTTAATTGGAGTATTCTCAATGACAAATTCCCTATAGTGGTGCTAATAGAGATATTTATTACTAAGGCCAAATTTTAAGGAATAACTCTGTTGTAGTTATAAGCTTCCTAGTGCAGTACAATCCATGAATTTTGAGACATCAAAGCAACCACAACTATAATGCAGCTGCTGCTCAGTGGAGGGAGAC